CAAACAGTTGGACATACGAGAAATTTACAACCAAGTGACTGAGTATTCGTTAGAAATATTGAATCAAGTAGGAATTTATGGCCTAGAGCTATTGTCGACTAAGTAAGCTATGGCCCTGACAATCAAGTTCGAACAGTAAAGTTGAGGGCCGCAACCGAAGAAATCGTTCAGGATGTAAGAAACTGATGCTTACGTGGAGGAGCCAGTTCGTTAACGACGATGACCGAGGACAATGGAGGTGGTGAGTGTTTCGGCGAGGGATGTCAGGTGTTATCAATAAACGAACGCACCAATGACAGAATTAAACATCCATCACTATCTAGACTATCTTTAACATTGCATGACTACGCTTTGTTTATTCACCAATCACGTCTTCCATGTTTATCATAAACGATATTAAGTTTTGTTTACTCATTTCCTTATCCTCTAGTTACTGTTTGATATGTTATTTATATCACTCTTTTTCCCTGTTCAATAGACTGTAATAATTGTTTTTGTATGCTAACAGTACTAATTTAGGTTTTACAGACAGATAAACTTTACCAAGCCAAATAGCTTACTTGTTGTGACTTTGGCCAAACTAAGTGTCTCAGTGTTTGACAGTCCAGGGATCAGTTTAGAATTGTGTCTTTAGAAAATCAATTCCTACACCAAAACTAAAATGAAGTCATACTTCCCTAGATCGCCAAATGCTACAAGTAACTATACATCTTGAAATGAAAGTAGTTGGTTAGGTTAAGGACAATCGAAAATTGTGTATTAATTGGAGTTTTGATGACTCTGGTGCACTCAGTTAAAATGATTCGCAAGTCAATTTTGCGGTTAACTAGTAGCAAATAAGGTAGCAAATGATATTAACAACAGTTCATACCATTTCAAGGGTTGATGAGCATATTCAAGCCAAAATTCGTGTACTAAAGGATGCTGTTTGAAAGTATCAATCTGATCGGATTGTGCATATTGCATTTCATGTTCTAATTTGCCCCGAGTCTCAGAAGTCATATCTTTGGATGCAGTCTTGAGTGCACATACAGAAAACTGACTGAATTGTCTTATAACTTTTTCAGTAACCAGTGGGAAATAAGAAACACGAGGAAGGAACATCTATAGGAGAGAAAAATTATTTCAAGACAAAAATATTTATGTATATTATGTTTACTGAGACAAAGTACTAAAAAGTCAAGTAACAATTATTAGAACTGACGTTCACAAATTATATACTGATAAGGATTTATTGGCATGCACTGCTGTAGATAAAATCGATTCATTTTTTGGTGGATATTAGCTTATGTAATATTTCTGGTGTAATAGAATAAGGATGTTATAAGAACGAAATGAGGTCTGGAAAAATTCAGTCCAAGTAATAACATAACCAAGATCAATATTGTTAAGCCGCTAGGTAAAGTTTACCGTTCAGGAAGAATGTGATACAAATCAGGGCAAGATAGTAGTTGGCTACTCAGTTAAGGCATGTTTGATAACGGCTGTAGCTGTTTGGATTCATGATATCTAAAACCGTATCTTGAGTTGACATTCGATATAGCCTGGTTGCGAAAAACGGGAAATCTGATAATGTTTTGCACCAATACACTAATTTATAAAATTGGTCAGGAAATCAATTATTAAAAGCTAATAACTGTGGTGTGTGCTACTGATGTCGACAGATGTAAGTAGCATGTATCGTCAATGGAAATTGAAATGCCGGGGGGTGGAACGTTAAGAAGATCAAAGGAAAGAGAACGAGAACAGAGAATGATTTCTTTGAAGACGGGAGAACAATGAAGTCTGTGACAGTTGATTGACATTTTGCAAGTGAAGTATTTACTGTATGGATCTCAGATTTTACTAAGATGTTCTGTAATTTTGTACTCAAATACAATCGATTGTTCCCCCTTGTGTTCTCATTCACTACAATAACGAAAAATAAAATTTCCTTCTAATAACTTCAAGTATATATATATATATATATATATATATATATATATATATATGGCATCTTATCACAATGAAAATAGAAATCCATAAGTAAAAAACGCGACTTAATAAATAGACTACAGAGTATAAATAAATTATATATTTGTAATATCCCAATGAGTAGAAAAATTAGAGCCACTTCTTCTCTGAAGAAGTGGCTTACACTGAGTCACGAAACGTCAGAAAATCTAATTTTTCTACTCATTGGGATATTACAAATATATAATTTATTTATAACAATCTACCCAATGCTCAATTTATTCAAAATTATCAAATCAAGTCTTGGTAATGATACCTACAGACTACAGAGTACTTATATTAGCTTTTTGATTATAGTGTAAAACTCTTGTTTAAGAGTTTCAAATATTTTCGCCTTAAATAAAGAGAACCAACCGCTGAAGATATATAAACCAAAGATTTACTTTCACACGAAAGTTTGTTTTGAGCCTTTATTTCATATACTTACAGTGAACTGTCTTAGAACGAAAGACTTCACAAAGATTGTTTACTACAGTTATTTACATGAAACCGGTTAAAGTACGCTTTGTCGCTTACAAATGATAAATCAGTCTGAGAAATAACATTTTATAAACTCACATAAATAGGCGGAGGAGCATGATCTTCATGTGCTAAATCCTCTAGTGCCAACGTAAAGCAAGCAGGAACTTTACCCTCCCAAACACGTTTCAAAATATTTGAATCTGTCATACAAGCGATGCAGCTGAAAAAATTTAATAATACTGAAGTAATGTAATACTACTGATAATAAAACAAAGCACAAGTTTTATGAAGCTATACACACAAGCGGTGCACAATTAACCAAAAATTGAAAGGCAATCTGACTATTTTCTTCAGACACACAAACTGATATGTCGTGTTTAGAGTATTTCAGATTTACTTCCCTTATGATATTATGATGAAAGTAGCTTAATAGTTAAGGCCTTCAACTTCTAGCCACTGATTCCCAGTTTAGAGCCCCACCCAACCTACTTCAGTCTAAAGAGCCAGATTCCCTCATACTTAGAGTGTGGCTTATAGCCCAGTACCTGGTAAACGAGCTAATTTTATTTTAAAGAGAAACATTTACAAGAATTGTCCTACAACAAATAAATTAAAACACACTTCTGTCTGGAAACTTCTGCATTTAATGAGATGTGACAGAAACTGTAGATGGGCTGAAATGTTTACATGGAAGATTTCAGTCCGTTTATTAGGCCATAAACTGGGTGCCACATAATTCATGATTGAGTGAGTAGTAAACAGAAAAGCATATTTGCATCGCTAACATGAAACTGAACATTAATACATGGCTATAACACTTAAGTCATTTCTGGTGAACATTACTTACGTTCATGACTACATTCCAAATGACTTCTTACACTAGTTTAAATTTGTTATTTAGAACAACATTAAATGAGGTATTAGTAAGAAGTGTGAAGGTCACGTAATCCTGATCGTATAAATTTCAAAAACGTTTGCACACCTAAGTGGCAAAATAACACCGTTCCAAATATGAGACAATAATTAGTTCTACGCGGTATTGGTATTGCAAACATAATTTACGGGAAATCTCGGTAACCGTAAAAGGCAGTTTTATTTATTCATCGGAAATAGTGTTTACTAAGGAACGTACATACTTACTTACGCCTGTTATCCCTCGTGGTAGAGCATAGACTGCACACCAGCATTCTCCATCCAACCCTGTCCTGAAAAATCCTTTCCCGTTAACATTCATCCTTTTCATATCTGCTTCTGTTTTCCGGCGTAATGTGTTCTTTGAACTTCGTCTTATCCACTTCCCTTCCGGATTCCAAGTGAGAGCTTGTCTCGTGATGCAGTTTGGTGATTTCCTTAATGTATGCCATATCCACTTCCAACGTCTTTTCCTAATTTCCTCTTCAGCTGGAAGCTGGTTTGTCCTCTCTCACAAAACGCTGTTGCTGATAGTATCCGTAGAGCGTTTTGCGTAAACAACTGTTTATAAATACTTGTACCTTCACATTTCAGCTCCGTACACTATGACTGTCTTGACGTTCGTATTGAAGATTCTCACTTTGAAGTTAGTTTAGAGTTGTTTGGAGTTCCATATGTTTTTCAATTGTAGAAATGCGATCCTTGTTTTGCTAATCCTCGCCTTTACATCTGGATCCGATCCTTGGTAATCAATTATGCTTCCCAGGTACGTGAATGTTTCCACCTCTTCCAGAGTTTCGCCAACAAGTGTGATTGGGTTAGTGTTCTCCGTGTTGTATTTGAGAATCTTGCTTTTTCGTTTGTGTATGTTGAGGCCTATTGATGCAGAGGCTGCTGCTACATTTTTTGTCTTCGTCTGTATTTGCTCGTGTGTATGAGATAGGAGGGCTAGGTCATCTGCAAAGTCCAAATTGTCTATTTGGTTCTGAGATGTCCACTGTATTCCGTGTTTCCCCTCAGATGTCGAAGTCTTCATAATCCAGTCAATCACCAGAAGAAAGAGGAAGGGGGAAAGTAGGCAGTCTTGTCTGAGTCCAGTCCTTACTGGCAATGTATTTGTCAGCTGTCCTCCATGCACGATGTCGCACTGTAGTCCGTCGTATGAGTTTCGGATAATGTTGACAATCTTCTCAGGAACTCCATAGTGTCGAACATACATACTACTGATTGAATTCAAGTTGGGTGCATTAGGGCTTGCGACATTATCAACGGAAAGTCAAGAAACAAGGAAAGATGTGTAGTTTAACCACACCTAAACCATTCGGGAATTAAAAAATTGTTGCTTATCCAAATGAAAAATATTTCACCATTCGTTTCAATCAATTTCATCGCAAAACCTTAATTGTAGTGCATTGTTCCGCATACGGAAGGACATGGTTTCAGTCGCGCTGCGTTCTAATTGGTCGTGCTTAAGATATAATAATAATTTCCTGGGGAAAGTAAGCTTAGATTCTCCTCTAGAATAAGTGCTTCTACATAGTGCAAAAATGAATGGAAACAGCATACAATAAAAATCAAAATTGTCAAGTACCATAAGGCTAAAACGTAAGAATGAATATAAGAGTATTTTATTGAACAAAATAAGGTACAAAGTCTTTAAAATCAATATCTCAAAGGTGTCAACGTGGAGAGGGTGAATACCTTCCAAACGTACTCGCTCCTTCCGCAAATTTAAAATGAAGTGTTCGGTTCATAACTCCAACCCATTGATCTCAAACACAGCATGAATGGAACGAGATCTGTTTCACTTGACCAAACGTGCAAGGTTAAACGTCAATATTGCTATGTGAGTCATCACTACTTTCATAGGTCACAAGTTCGACAGAACTATCTGTCACGTGATTACAAAATAGATTGGCAGTTGAAGGAGTGGATTCATTTTCTTCAATTCCAGAGTCTCCACACTTGTTAATTAGTTTTTTACTCTTACAAGGACGATAGATAACCGAATCCATCGACATCCTTGGAGTCTCTTTTAACGTTGATGTAGTTGACTTTTTGATATTATCAGCTTTCGATGCACTTTTGGTCTTAGAAGCTGGCACATGTGAATTTCTATTACGAATGAGAGACATAGGATTCAAAGGATTCGCGGTTATATCTGAAGGTTAAAAAAAGTTGAAATTATAGTACACCAAATACTTACAAAGTTGAGGATTGTCATAAGTGAAACGAACTTTAACTGTTCTAAGGTGCATGTAAATTTCGAAACCACCCGCCAAAACTTATGTGGAATAAAGGAAATTTCATGATTTACTTAACTTTCGTGACCTCATTAACAAACTATGAACAGATAGATATATAATTATACGGTTATTTTACCCGTTAATGGGACGAAATTTATAAAAATGAGTTTGGGATTGCAATCTAGACTATTTATAGCGATATTTTTTGTAAAAATCAGTATCACGCAGCTGCAATATCGTATAAACTGGTTGGTGTTGAATTGAGTAGTAAAAACATTAAAAGTGATAGTCGATAGGGATAACTTTGATAATCGGGTCTAATGTGACGAAGAAGAGATGTTTATGGTCACGGAGAGCCGTTTATAATCAGCACTAAAATTTATTTTACGCCAAGTAATGTACTATATTGTGGATTCGACACAATAATGTAAAAACTCGGCCACACTAAATAAGGTACGGATATCCTAATAGGATCTTTAAATTACAAACATCAATTGTTGCTTACAATTTAGTACGGGAACAAATAATGAATGACAGAATTATGTTTAACTAAAGTTTACTCTTAAACTCCACAAAGTGAAGTAGATGAGATCAAATCTCAACCTCTAACCTAATGGTTATAAATTATGTTTGTCTAACACTGATGTGAAGCAGTTTCAAATCTGGAAACATTTTCATAACGAACTTCTAAAGTCTAACTAACAGCATACTTCGTAGTTAATTATAGAAGATTAGGTTTAGTTAACAGAAACGTCAAGTAGGTTACAATACTTTATAAGGTTTGAACCCACTCGAAAACTTAACCTACGTTTGGAACCCGGTATACGACGGATCACTGTAGCGTTGCATAGACTGAACCACAGCTCCACGATTCATTACTTTAGTACATAAAAACTACACAGGTACATAATTCGGGCATACTTGACCTGTTCGGGAAGTGCGAAAATAGGACTGGTATTAGTGAGAACTTTTTAATATACCCATAAAACATTAGAATAACGCACAACATATATATACTCATAGTCTATAGTTGATCTTGGAAATGGACCTAAAAGTATTGTATTGGCCAATACTCGAAAGTCATAGATGCGAATGGCTAGGGATTCCCTAACAACAATAAGATAGACGTCTAGTGCTCCCAGGTGGTCACTTAGTACTGAAAAAATGATTTATATCAGTCAAAATTCGGGAGTTAAAACAAGATTCTAGTTTATTGGTCGCTATCTGCTTCAGATCAGGAAAACTGAAATGACGAAGACTTTGCTACATGTGGTGTGATTAGTTGACTGTCAGTCAGTCAGTCAGCTACAACGTAGGACCAGGCACATATATGCATCGGTCCAAGTTGCCATACCTCTTTAGCACAACAAGATGAACACCGGATTCATAGAAGCAATTAATTTAGTGATGGTAGTATATAAAGAAAGATTGTATAGAAGGATATAGTACAGGAAGGAAGAGAGATATGAAGCAATTTTAATCTCAAGGTTTAAGGGAAGATAAAGAGTGTATACACCTACGTCATTGTGATCGATTCTGAGCCATGTCACCTAGAGTCTCCAACCATTTATTACGATAGTCACGCGGACCCCAACCAGGTAGTCTGCATCTGCCAACATGGCTCAGGCTAGAAGTTAGTGACTTCAAACACTGATGCCATGTTTTGGTTTGGCCGCCCCTAACTCTCTTCCAACCGTCCCCAATACTAGTCATCATAGCGCGTCGTGGTAATCGGTGTTCAGGCATACGTAACACATGGCCCAACCATCTCAGTCGATGAAGATTTATCACCTCATCAACTGATTTACCATCGTTACCTAATACCCTGCGTCTAACCTCACTATTACTTACTCGGTGATCCCAGCAGATGCGAGCAATATTTCTAAGGCATCTGTGGTCAAATACTAGTAACCTACGAGTATCTTCTACTCTTAATGGCCATGTTTCGCAGCCGTAAAGTGGAACAGAGCGAACTGCTGTTCAGTATACTCGTCCCTTAATTGATAGACGGATATCTCGTCTTCGCCATAGTTGACGTAAGTTGCCAAACGCCAAACGAGCTTTTTGAATCCTTGCAGAAATTTCGTCAGGCACCAACCTATTAGGGCTGATCAGACTTCCAAGATAAGTGAAGTTGTTCACGCGTTCGACTACTTCACTCCCTATCCTTAGTTCAGGTGTTGACGCAGGCCAGTCCTGGAGTAACAATTTACATTCGGAGGGGGAGAAACGCATCCCAAACATCCTGGCATTATTACTCAGTTCCAACAGAAGACTCTGCATTTTGTCAACGTCTTCACCAAACAGGACTATGTCATCTGCGTATTCTAAGTCGCTTAGTGGTCCCCCTGGTAGGAGATCAATTCCTGTAAACTCAGTCGAAGAGAGTGTTATTTCCAGCAACAGGTCTATAATGAAGTTAAACAAAAATGGGGATAGTGGACAGCCTTGACGGACACCACTTGAGGTTGTAAAATCATATGACAGTTCGCCATAAGCTCTCACTCGACTGATAGTGTTCGAGTAAAGAGCCTTCACAAGGTTTATGTACTTCTCAGGTACACCTTTCAATGACAGACACTGCCACAGAACCTCTCGGTCTACAGAGTCAAATGCTGCTTTCAAGTCAAGAAAAACTATCATTGTCGGACGCCGATAAGCATGTCTGTGCTCTAAAACTTGACGAATGGTGAATATGTGGTCGATACAGCCACGACCAGGTCTGAAGCCAGCCTGATTTTCTCGTGTTTGCAGTTCACGAGTTTTAGTTAGGCGCCTGATAATTATTGAGGCTAGTATTTTAGATACTATGTTAGTCAGACTAATCCCTCTATGGTTATCGCAGGATGATTTTGACCCCTTTTTATATATTGGGACAATCAGTGATTGTGACCAGTCGGATGGGATTACATCCGTCTCCCAGATTTTAGCCAGAATATTAGTCAACCTAATCGCTAAAATTGGACCACCATATTTAAAGACCTCTGGAGCCAATCCATCAGGACCAGCTGCTCTTCCTCGTTTCAGATTACCTATAGCCTTTTGAACTTCAAGTAGGGTCGGGGGGCCTACTTCAATGTTCCATTCAGGTTTTCTAGGAATAGTGGGTAGTTGTGCAGTAGCTGAAGGCCAGCTAAACTGCTCCTTAAAGTGTTCCGCCCATCGTTCTAAACGTTTGGGTAGAGAGCAGATAAGGGTTCCATCTTTTTCCGAGATCGTCTCTTAGTTGACTGTAAGCATGTTTAGAAGCAAAGTAAGAATCAGATAATTCTTAAAAAAAGGAAAATAAGAACTGTGATTTAAATACCGTCGCATCGAGCAGTTGTACGTTTTCGGACTCATTAAATTGAAATATTAGTAACATAACTTCCAGGATACGTTGGTGTATGGATATATTCACGTCCATTTACGAAAAATCCAAACAGTTAGTGAAGTGGGCAAAATTCAATGCAATTAATGCAAACATATTACTTTGTCACGCTTCAGGTTTCGAACATATTATTTAGCACCCGTACACTTCCCGCCATCACTTGTTTTATTGTTGTCTTTTTTTATGACAAATTTGATCCCTATTTTACAGGCAACGACGTGAAGAGCGAAATGATTAGGTAAGTCGCTGGTTTTACAGATTGGATTCCAACCACCAAGTTACAGCATGAAAACTATCCGCCAATAACTTCAGTTTGAACAAACAGTCAGCATGCGCAAACATGTAACTATTTATGATATAGCGAGGAGCAAGTTTGACAATTATTCATTAATTTTACAGGTTAGTGAATGACGCACGAAATATAAACCTTACAATTATTGATGTTTTTTAATGTATCTTAAATGTTTATATTAGTGCTAAAAATTCTGGATATAACTGTAATTTCGAAATATAAAACTATTCAGTTTTGGTGGCCATTTATTTTGTCATCTGACATCCATTCATTGAAACCCTAAGTCCAATACTTCAGATTTGCGAATAATGGTTACCTGGCTATGATCTCTGTCATTACAACCCAGCTATTCCTATTACGTTGTATTTTTCGGACACTTTGCTTCACTGAACAAACCCAAAATCATTATATGGGTGGACAGGAACGTCATTATATTCCAAATAAACAAAGGTTGAGTGGAAGTAGAAATCACAATAAGAAAAACGTTATTGTATTTATGCTTTACGCAAGAAGATTCTAGAGTCTTCTCTAAGTATCCGCTAACACTGGTTGGCTAAGAAATGACCAATCACCGTGCCCCAACACAATCTATATTACGCTAACAATATCTACTGTAACTGGTTAATAATTTGCATTATTATTACTATTATCACTATTAATTATTATTTCATTTACATCAACAGAATAAAACAAATAAACGTAATACCTAAATTATGTGGGAACTTATAAACAATGTATATAGTTGATATTAAAAAGACTTACTACGTTTCGAATGTGTGAGGAACATAACTTTTGCCATAGTTGAGTCGTCATCAGTTTCTGGAAGAAGTTCAACCTGAGACCCAGTTAGCGACAAGCGGTTTAAGAGAGAGTTATCTCTGACCAATTGTTCCTCAGATTGCTTTTTGGCTTCCTAAAGTAAAAAACGCATATGGATTGAAAGCAACTAAAAAACTCATCGAGTAAAAGTAAATTCGAATTTCGTATCGCCTATGACCAATGAAACATATATACAGAAAAGTGATAGAGAACAAATGGAATACAATTAACGTAAGTCAGAAGTTCGAAAGCAGGAAGGTAATCTGACAGCATATTAGTTACTGAAGTAAATGGTTATAAATAAGCGCACTGAGATCTTATGAAAATGCTGTTCATAATTTATGTTGTTGAAGTTCAGAGTCTGCACAACTGACCTACGAAAATTTACAGGTCAGTATACATACTAACTTACGCCTGTTACACCTCGCAGAGGACCTTAGACCACGAACCAGTATAGCCCATCTAACTCAGTAATATGCAATAATTACCAGTTGCTAGTTACCCTTTTCACGTCTGTTTCCAATTACAAACGAACTGTCCGTTGGCGTTACTCTTTTCCGTTTCGATTGCATTGTCTATCTTGAGACCTAATGCGTTGGAAGCTATTGTTACACCGACAGTCTTCACCAACATTTGTTTCAGTGTGTGAGATAGTAGACTTACGAAGTCCGAATCATCCGGCCACATATCCAAACTGGCATACATATCCACGTACATATCTAAAACCGACATGGCTTTCTCAGGTTCGCTGTTCACAAGCCCTATATAATCGTCACAAGAATATTAAGGCCTATATTTTAGACACCATTTTGGTCAAACTGATTCCTCTGTGATTATTATAAACTAAAACAATCAGTGACTGAGACTAGTCAAACGGAATTACTTCTGCTCCTCAAATCCTAGCTAAGATTTTAATCAATTAAAACTAGGGTTAAGTCATCAGGTCCTGCTGCTCTGTCTGACTCTAGTCTTCACTTGGAATGGATCTGTGAGCTGCCCTCCATACACAACTTCGCGGTGCAGTCCGTCGTATGAATTCCGTATTATATTTAACATCTCAGGTGCACCATAGTGTCGAAGACAGTTCCATAAGGTTCTTATATCCACACCGTCAAACACTTGCTCATAGTCAATGAAGTTGACGTATAGTGACGAGTTCCATTCAACTGGTTGTTCAACGATGATCCATAGTACTGAAATTCGGTCTGTGCACGACCGATCCCTACGGAATCAGGATTGTTGACCTCGAAGTTGGGAGTCTACTGAATCTTTCACCCGGTTCAGCAACAGTCTGTTGAAACTTTCCCTGGTACTGATAGTAGTGTGATGCCTCTGTAGTCCTCACATTTGCTCAGATCTCCTTTCGTTGGTATCTTGATGAGATATCCTTCTTTCCAGTCTGTCGGCACTTGTTCTTGCCCCCAAATCTTGCTGAATAGAATGTGGAGCATGTTTGCAGTTGCTTCTATGTCTGACTTCAGTGCTTCGGTTGGTATATTGTCAGATCCTGCTGCCTTCCCACTCTTGACTTGTCTGATGACCATCCTGATTTCTTCGATCGTTGGTAAAGTGACATATATAGGAAGGTCTGTAGGTTTTGCCTCGATGTCTCGTGGATTCGATGGAGCTGGCCTGTTCAGGAGTTCCTCGAAGCATTCTACCCATCTGTTCCTCTGCTCTTGACTGCCTGTCCTTGTTTACTATGCTTTCCCGCTGTTTTCTCCGTTGCATCATATAGTTTTCGCATATTTCCTTCTCTTGCAGCTTTTTCCACTGTCACTTCTAGTGTAGTGAACAGAACACTAGTTGGGGATAATCGAATGTATTTAAGCAAAGATTACAGACTATCTCAGTAGATTCTGATAACCAAACAATGAACAGTCAATTTGCAAATTAACAACCAATTGTTTCAATCTTCACTGTTTCTTCTCTTATTCCATTGCTCATGCATTTTCCAAACGATTGCGCTTCATTTTAGTTCTTTCTTCATCGGTCTTCTGCGAAAATACATTCTATGTCTGACCCACACCATATACTACTTATATAGATATAAGTAGACCACACCACACTCGTCCCCTCTTTAAAGCATTCGTTCATGCGGTGGTTCTGCTCGCCACGCCGCTATCTTCTTCCACTGCAGTCTGTGCCAAACTCTCCGTCAGAATGTCGAGGCTGCGGCGCGCTGACCTCCATAGCTCCGTCGACCTGCCGGGGCACCAACATCCGCATCCACCCGGCACCTGGGACGTTCAACAGCCGTACTCCACCGGCCTGCCGAGCCATCTACATCCGATGTCCGCCCAGCAACCGCACGTCCCACTGCTCCTCTCCGTCGACAGCACTCGCTACAGCCAACGCCGCCCCGCCAGAACACTCCACTCGACGCCACCCATCCGCACCAGACTGCCCCAACAAACACCTCAACTCCAGACCCGCAGCGGCGTCCGCAGAACAGCACCCTTCCTCCTCCCGGTTGGCAGCGACACCAAATGTAGTGAACAGAACACTAGTTGGGGACAATCGAATGTATTTAAGCAAAGATTACAGACTATCTCAGTAAATTCTGATAACCAAACAATGAACAGTCAATTTGCAAATTAACAACCAATTGTTTCAATCTTCACTGTTTCTTCTCTTATTCCATTGCTCATGCATTTTCCAAACGATTGCGCTTCATTTTAGTTCTCTCTTCATCGGTCTTCTGCGAAAATACATTCTATGTCTGACCCACACCATATACTACTTATATAGATATAAGTAGACCACACCACACTAGGTCTTCCACGTATTTCTGCTCGTCAGCTCTAATGCTCCTGTACGCTCTCTTCTTTGTTTCTGTGTGTTCGGTCTGTGCCTTGACTTTCTCTGTTCTTGTTCAGCTGTTGACAATAGCTGTCTTCTTGTTCTTCCTTTCTTGAATCCTGTCCAGTGTACCGATGTAGATCCATTCCTCATGATGATGCTCCTTGCGGCCCAACACCTCCTGACACGTTGAAGTTAATGCTTCTTTGGTCACATTCTAGTTGTCCTCCATCGTAGTTTCTTCTTCTTTCAGTACATTCCGTAAGGTTTGGAACCTACTGCTCAAAGTTATCTTCAATTCATTGAGTTTGTCAGTATCTTGCAGGAAGGCTGTATTGAAACTTTGTACTGCTGTGTCTCCAGTTGTCCAGTGTTTCTTTAGCTTCGTTTTCACCTTGGCAATCACCAGGTCGTGATCTGAAAACATGTCAGCTCCTCTCTTGGTTCTCACGACTTCCATTGACCTTCTGAATTTTTTAGTGATACAAATATGATCGATCTGGTACTTTGTAGAGTGATCCGGTGAGACCCATGTCGATTTGTGCATGCTTTTGTTAGGGAATATTGTGCCGTCAATAACCAATTTGTTGAATGCAAATATATTTGCGAATTTCTCGACATTCTCGTTCGTTTACTTCAGTCCATGTCGCCCCATGATATCTTCACATCCGGTGTTGTCTACTCCAACCTTAGCGTTTAAGTCTCCCTTCAGTATGGTGAGGTCCCTTCCTGAGTATTTCGTTATGATCGATTGCAGCCTCAGTCAGCCGGCTTCAAAGTAGGACTACAAACATAAATGCATCGATCCTAGTTTCCTCACCTCATTAGCACAGCAAGATGAACAGCAAATTAATAGAAGTAGTTACTTCGATGGTAGTAATATATAAAAGAACGGTTTCTATATAGGATATAGTACAGGAAGAAAGAGTTAGTTGGTAGAATAAAAGATATAATTTATTTAATTATTTTATTTAAAGCCATAAATATCGGTACAAGAAGGCACCAGATATACATGCGCCACACAAATCTCATTTGATTTGTGTGAGGGCTTTGATACTTTCCGAGTGCCAAAACCGAAGCAGGTGGTTTTCTTAGCGGGCCACACCCGGGACTGGTTGGAAAAGGTGGAGAGGTGATCAGTGTATGACATGGTGTCGTGGTATGAAAGAAAGCTACAAAGGGCTGACTTCTGTTGCTCCTTCCCGACTTCCTGGTTGGGGTCCGAGAGATGGTGCGACACAGTGGCCAGAGACTTTACTAGACATGGCTCAGAATAGAAGTCAGATGCGATCCTTTTGTGGTTGTGATCTCCTTAACTGAAAGAATCCTTCTGGTTGTAAATTTCTGTGTCCCCCAGTATTATTCTCATTATTACACTGTGGTTGTTATTGTTCTTTTTTTCTCATATGCACCTTACCTTCTTTCTCTCTTCACATATCTGGTACCCCCTCGTACCAATATTTATGTGTTCATTTAAATAAATAAATAAATAAAAGAAAACTGGAACCAATCCATCTGACCCAGATGATGTTTCTCGTTTCACATGAGCTATAGTTTTTCGAACTTTGGAGTTGAGGTGCCTACTTCAGTTTTTCAATCAGGCTGTTTAGGAATGGTGGGTAGTTGTAGAGTAGCTGAAGGCCAGCTGAACTGCTCCTTAAAGTGTTCTGCCCATAGCACTAATTGTCTAGATCCCATGCCCAACACCCCTTTACACGGGCTTAAGACCGGCAGTAAGTCTAGGAGAGCTACAAGCGGAATTAGGTCAGTGATGTGATCCGCAAAACTAGAAGCCTGAACAAATTACGGAAGCTATTTTCGGGGACGTTAATTCATTTAATTCAAAGCTTGTAAAACTGTAGCATTTACTTTTGCCCCTAGCCTATTCTACAGATCATAAGCTTTCGTTTGATGTATAATTCATTGCCATAGCATTTTCTGCCCTAAAGCTATTGTCATTTAGACGTAATCTTTTGTACCCTATTTTCTACTATAATTCCCCAGTTTTGGACATGATTGTATTTTTCTAATTATTGTACGTTGTGGTCCGCTTAGTCATCTATTTATTCATGTAACTTTTCACCCTAATCTGAATTGGGAATTCGAGTGCTAGATCGGGTTGGAATGAAGTGATTAGTGTTCCGCCTGTCTTGTCTTCTCTCTCTCTCTCGTGCTTGCCAGCCAATCAGGGACAGAATAGTTTTCGTCTCTCTACCCCTATTTCGTCTATCGTGTCAAGGTCTTAATCTACATTATACTCGGCACTAAGTGGGTAGACAGATTCAAGGACGTAACAAAAGTGGCGACGGAGATTTTTATTTATTTTGAAATATTGATTGATCCAAATCAAAATGTCTGTTTCTTTGGACGACCTTAAAACTATTCTACAAATCCAGCAAGCTCAGAATGATGCAAACCAAATGAAGCTTTTAGATGCATTGATGCAGAAGCTCTCATTTCATTCATCATCAAATTCTCAGTCAGATAAATATGACAGCATCGCAAATTCTATTTGTGAATTCAATTATGATCCCGATTCTGGTATTATTTTCGATTCCTGGTTTCGCCGTTTTGAAGACACATTTCGTGTTGAATGCTCGAATCTTGATGATGCAGCCAAAGTTCGCCTACTTTTGAGAAGACTCGGAACACTTGAATATAACAAATATGTAAATTTCATTTTGATATGACTCATATAGAATGTTAACTTGAATCTGTATATACGTAAAATGAAAATTTAAGATCTGTGATCAGAATATAAATATGGGTCAGATAGGGTGAGAGAGATATGATAGTGCAATTACAATTCGATCAAGTGGAAGACTAAATGTGTGAAAAATTAGTAAGACGTAATAAGGAGGGATCAATGCGATGTGAATGAATCATGTTTAGGGGGGATTAATAATGATATTTAACCAATAATAATAATAATAAAATACAAAGATTTGTGAATAAAGATAAGAGACAATTACATTTGACTACGAAAGGTCGTAAGTACATAGCTTGTCAGGCTTAAAGTCCTTCAAACGGCGGAGGCAGTAGCCATCAGAATGAAGAAACCTGAGCTATGTGTACAGAAGAAATATCTCCAACCCCTACTTCTCCCTTGGCCAACCACAAGGTCAATTAATGAACAATCATCTTAGCTATTGTATGACCTAATTTGACTATGTACTTACGACCTTTCGTAGTCAAATGTAATTGTCTCTTATCTTTATTCACAAATCTTTGTATTTTATTATTATTATTATTATTATTGGTTAAATATCATTATTAATCCCCCCTAAACATGATTCATTCACATCGCATTGATCCCTCCTTATTACGTCTCACTAATTTTTCACACATTTAGTCTTCCACTTGATCGAATTGTAATTGCACTATCATATCTCTCTCAACCTATCTGACCCATATTTATATTCTGATCACAGATCTTAAATTTTCATTTCACGTATATACAGATTCAAGTTAACACTCTATATGAGTCATATCAACATTAACTATTTGGTTTGACAATCCTAAATTTCATTTTGCCACAAAATCCACGAGATTTATCATTCAATGAGACAGTTCAAACTTTGTCCTAAATTCACTGATGTTTGTTATCTAACAAATCGGCATGATTTAGATCTATTGGGATTGGATTGGATTGAGAAGATCGATGTCTTAAATAGTTTATTAAATGAAGTATGTTCTCATAATTCTTGCTCTGATTCTATCCAAAATTCTCATGATATTTCCGAATCAAATGCCTCAGTTGTGTTATGTTCCCCTGATGTTTATGAACTAAATGCTTCCGATGTAACATGTTCTCGTAATATTTCGGCATCGAATTCCTCCGATTTAATGTGTTCTCATAATGATGTCAAATCAAATACCTCTAATTTAATGTGTTCTCATAATGATGCTAAATCAAATAACTCCGATGTAACATGTTCACAAAATGATTCCCCATCAAATTCGTCAAACAAAGTATGCTGCCGTAATATCTCAAAATCTCATGCATCTTATTCCTCTAAAATGTCGACCACATCCCATGTAAATCATCTTCGGCAAAAACATGCAGATGTATTCCAAAACAAACTGGGCTGTTGTAAGTTCACCAAAGTTTTCTTGTCGTTAAAGCAAAATGCAAAACCTGTCTTCAGACCAAAACGACCAGTACCTTATGCTGCTCTGTCAGTCGTTGACCAGGAACTTGACAGGTTAGAAGCACTGGGTGTCATTCAGCCAGTAAATTACTCACCGTGGGCTGCTCCCATAGTAGTTGTGAGAAAGGCAAATGGGACTGTTCGCATATGTGCTGATTTTTCCACTGGTCTAAATGATGCTTTAGAGGATCACACTTATCCACTTCCCATACAGGAAGATTTATTTATCAAACTAAATGGAGGGAAGTATTTTGCTAAGATTGACCTTGCTGACGCATATCTCCAAATAGCAGTTGATCCAGTCTCCCAACCACTACTGACGATTAACACTCACAGAGGTCTTTATCAATATAAACGTTTGCCTTTTGGTGTGAAACCAGCTATTTTTCAACAAATTATGGACACTATGTTGGCAAATTTGCCAGGAGTCGCTGTCTATCTGGATGATGTTATCGTTACAGGTTCCAGTAAGTCCGATTTATTTGATCGACTTGATGCTGTTTTGACCAAAATATCTGAGTATGGATTTTATCTAAAAGAAGAGAAGTGTAAATTTTTCATGGACTCGGTAAAATATCTTGGTTTTGTTTTCGACAAAAATGGACGACGCCCAGATCCAGAAAACGTACGAGCTATCCAAAATATACCTCCACCATCTAACGTCGCAACTCTACGCTCGTTCCTTGGTCTTATCAGTTATTACAGTAACTTTTTACCAGAATTGCATCGCCTACGAGCACCCATGAACCATCTATTATCCAAAAATGTAAAATGGAACTGGTCCACTGAGTGTCAAAAGAGTTTTGACAAAGTAAAGTCACTATTAATATCGGACCTACTTCTTACGTATTTTGATCCCTCACTGGAAATCGTTGTTGCCGCAGATGCTTCTGATTATGGTGTCGGAGCTGTTATATCCCACAGGTTTCAAGACGGCACAGAGAAAGCTATAGCCCATGCCTCCAGAACGTTGACTTCGGCAGAACGCAAGTACAGCCAAATTGAGAAAGAAGGATTGGCACTAGTTTTTGCAGTTAGGAAGTTTCACAAAATGCTGCATGGTAGAAAATTTACCTTATTTACTGATCATAAACTCCTATTATCGATCTTTGGATCTAAGAAAGGTATACCAGTTTATACTGCAAATCGCCTCCAACGATGGGCTACAATGTTGTTGGGTTATGATTTCACTATCAAATACAAATCTACCTCTGACTTTGGTCATGCTGATGCACTATCGCGCTTAATAAGAAATCATAAGCTTGAAAATGAAGATACTGTCATTGCTTCTATATCAGTGGAAGAAGATGTGAGCAGCATGTTGCTCAATTCAACGCGAATTCTTCCAGTGACAGCTGCTCGAATCGCTGATCACACTCTCCGTGATCCTATCTTAAGGCAACTAGCTACATTTATCCGGCGTGGTTGGCCCCCACGTATAACATCTCATGAACTAAAACAGTATTATCAACGACGCCAATCTTTATCCATCGTAAATGATTGTATTATGTTCGCTGATCGCGTAGTAATTCCAAGTAACCTACGCCCACTCGTTCTGAAACAACTGCACACAGCTCATCCAGGTATTGGAAGAATGAAAGCTATTGCTCGAAGTTATGTATACTGGCCTAACATTGATGGACACATCGAAGACTTAGTGCGTGCGTGCAGAAAATGTGCTGCAGCCTCGAAATGTCCACGGAAAGCTGAACTCAATTCTTGGCCATCCCCGAAAGAACCTTGGTCGCGTATACACATTGATTTCACCGGCCCATTTCAAGGTACATATTTTCTCATTTGTGTCGATGCCTACTCAAAGTGGCCAGAGATTCTACCCATGAAGCAAATCACGTCGCAAGAGACTATTATCGAGTTACGGCAGTTATTCTTTGGTTTCGGAGTCCCAGATATTCTCGTGTCAGATAATGGCACTCAGTTTACTTCTTCCATTTTCTCCGACTTCTGCAACAGGTTTGGGGTCAAATATGTTCGTTCACCTCCATACCATCCACAATCAAATGGTCAAGCAGAAAGGTTTGTGGATACCTTCAAAAGAGCGCTACTGAAGGCAAGGGGGGAAGGGAAGATAAAGGAAATTCTTGATGATTTTCTGTTAGTCTACAGAACGACTCCAAATCCATCAGCGCCGAATAAATTGTCTCCAGCAGAAATTATGTTTGGTAGAAAAGTTAAAACTGCTCTCGTTGCCATAAAACCAAAGCAAAATGGTGTAGGAAGAAGAAACCAGAAGATGGAATCTCAATTTAATCGTCACCATGGGGCGAAAAGTAGAATCTTTCGAGATGCCAGCTCAGTGGTCTATCGGTTAAGGGCTTCGGCTCGAAACTGGTAGGTCCTGGGTTCGAATCTCGCGCGAGCGGGTTCGTGGATGCGCACTGCTGAGGAGTCCCATGATAGGACGAAACGGCCGTCCAGTGTTTCCAGGTTTTCCATGGTGGTCTAGCTTCAATTGACTCATGCTTTAAAACTATGAAAAATACTAAATCTCCACAAAACCCCCTCTGATAATTAATATAATCATATGCTCACCAGTGACTTCGAGAAGTATAACTAGGAGCTCTAGTGAGAAGCAGTGACCAGTGGAGTTCAAAACCACGTCTGTTGTGAGATAGGAACTCACTGAAGACAATTGGTGAATGGTTGCTCAACTTCGTGGATCAGTTGAAGTTAGACATTAACACCGTTGGATGCCAGCTCAGTGGTCTATCGGTTAAGGGCTTCGGCTCGAAACTGGTAGGTCCTGGGTTCGAATCTCGCGCGAGCGGGTTCGTGGATGCGCACTGCTGAGGAGTCCCATGATAGGACGAAACGGCCGTCCAGTGTTTCCAGGTTTTCCATGGTGGTCTAGCTTCAATTGACTCATGCTTTAAAACTATGAAAAATACTAAATCTCCACAAAACCCCCTCTGAATATCTGAAACACATTTTTTAAAAACACAATGCATACGCGAAATTTTTTACGAGCGATTTGATTCAAAGTGAAGTCATCTTCGTGTCCCAAACGATCAATCTGAACTTCTTGAATTGCTGGTATGATCTCACTAGCTTTCATCTTGTCAGTAACATTATGCTCCAAATGATACATGGCATCCGTTGCAAGCTGCTTCTTCTCAGAGTGATCTATAAATCACAAAACAGAAATACGCCTAGATTATCGATAGTTCCTTTGACGATAGGAGGTACTATTGTAGTGTGGTCTACTTATATCCATATAAGTAGTATATGGCAATGGTCAGACATAGAATGTATTTTGGCAGAGGACCGATAAGGAAAGGACTGAAATGAAGCGCAATTGGTACGAAAATGCATGAACAACGGAATTAGAGAAGATGAACTGATATTTACATAAGGAGCAGTGAAGATTGAGACAATTGGCTGTTCTTTTGCAAATTAACTGTTTGCTGTATGGTTATCAGAATTCAGTGAGATAGTATGTTATTTGTGTCTAAATACATTTGATTGTCTCCACCCGTGATCTTGTTCACTACACTAGTTTACAATCATAAGCAGTAAAGTTTATGTTCCAGCTTGAAAATCTTAAATATCTAGTGCTATAAAACATTTTAACAACAGCGGATAGTGACTTATTCAGTTAAACGTAACTGATAAACGATTATCATTTCCAGTGATATGTATTTCTTCATTCATTTGAGCACTTAAATATTGGTACAAAGAGGTATCACATACATGTGCGCCACACAATGACAATGAGACCGAAGAAACAGAGAATTTAAAACGCTAATGATAAAAATAACAAGCAACGGAGATTAGTGTATGAGAGTGAAATAATAATAATAGTAGTAAAAATAATGATATTAATAAAATAATAACGGCAGAAATAGTTCAGTTAGTAAAGGTACGACCATAAATAACTCTTCCAGTTAAAGAAGTTATAACCACTTCTTATGAAGAAAGTAAAATAAAGTTACAGCAGGATCGCCACTGACTTCTATTCTGAGCCATGTCTAGTAAAGTCTCTAGCCACTGTGTTGCACCATCTCTCGGACCCCAACCAGGAAGTCGGGAAGGAGCGACAGAAGTCAGCCCTTTGCAGCTTTCTTTCATACCACGACACCATGTCATACACTGACCACCTCTCCGCCTTTTACAACCAGTCCCAGAGTCGGCAAATAATGCACGACGTGGACTTCTCTGAGACGACATTCGTAGAACATGTCCGATCCACCGAAGTCGGTGTTTCAAGATGGTGACACCAATTGGATTATCGTCTCTGTGCCCGAACACTCGATGCCGAACCTCTGCATTACTAACATGGTGTTGCCACTGGATGTCAGCAATCCTTCGGAGACAACGATGATCAAACTCAGAGAGGCGTCTAACATCCTCAACTCGGAGTGGTTAGGTTTCACAAGCATAGAGCAAAACTGCTCTCACCGACGCGTTGTAAACCCGACCGTTTACAGCCAGACTAACATCACGAAGGCGCCTAAGGTGGCCCAGATTGGCATAAGCTGCTCTGGCTTTCATTATACGTGAATCCATCTCATCACTCACACCAGCACCTGTGCAGCTACCTAGATACTCGAACTTCTCGACTACTGCAATCTGCTCACCACCCATGGTGAGTACAGGATTAGAATCCTGCCAGTCTTGTAGAAGTACTTTGCACTTCGAAGGTGCAAGTCATATACCGTACCTATGGACACTGATTGCCAACTGATTAAGTGCGGATATCAAGGTCGAGAAGTCTTTCTCTAGGTAACAGATCCATACCACCATTACATGCATCCGTCAGAGCTGTTTCCAGAACGTCATCGTTAGCAAAGTTGAAGAGGAATGTTGAGATTGAGCAACCCTGTCTAACCCCACTGCTTGAATCGAACAAAGTAGAGAGGTGCGATCCGATATACATGTTTCATGTTGACAGACGTTCAAACTGTCGTGATAACACGGATCATTGGGCAGTGAAGGGACAGTTTATTACTGAGTATAAGAAGCTGGAATGACATATGCCATTGTTAAGAATGAAGAAAGTTCACTTAGCAACTTAGCTTTGTGCATGCTTTTGTTAGGGAATATCGTACCGTCAGGTCCTTTCCTAGGCACTTTTCTAGAACGGACTTCAGCACCACAAAACTAATATGTGTCATTTTCGCTGCCATCGTTGGTGAGTGCATAGCGATGGATGATATTCACTGCAATACCCTCCATCTTTGTTTTGAATAATGCTTTGATAATTTTGGATCCATGAGGTTCTAATCTTTTACATGCTTCTTTGGACACCACCTCTCCCGAAGCTAATCTTTACTGTTCAGCTTGGATCGAAAGGGTTTCACTTATTCCGAGCACCACTAATTTGTATCTCCTCATTTCCGTAGCCATTCAACTGATCCTCCCGGTCTCCCACATTGGCGAACATTCCATGTACCTATATTAATTGTTGCTCTGGTTGTTAGAAGTGGAATTGGCCTCGTGATTTCTGGAGAATCTCAGCTTTCTCCATGACGCGTCATAATTCTTCGAAATGAATATCCCTCAACTCCCAAGGGAGAGTTTAAATAGTTTATTCTGGTTAGCGTTGCTTCGTCAAAGTCGTTTCCCACATGATGAGGTTGCTGACATTGCGCCCGACCTCTTCCTTTATCCGGGATGGGGACCGGCAATAATCCGAGAAGGGCTGCAGGCGGACTGCTGTAATCTAATTCCATGCTATAAGGTATAAGTGGGAGAAATGCATGAGTGCTGTTTGAATGTAATGGAACTACGGCACAAACCCACTTCCATACTGTGGAACAGTTAAGTCGAGAGCGCATCATTCCGAATTAAAAACTACTAGTTTTTTTACGACATGTAAAGGACAAACCCTACAATCAAACTCAAAATTTGTCATACATCGTTCAAAGACACGTAAAAATTACGCTAAACGCAAACGATAATAAGTGAAAATGAATAATTTACTTGTCAATATCCAAAATACGAACAAAAGGTTTTAATTTTAGTCTCAAAGCTCAGTGAAGTGTGCCACAATGGAAGGCAATGACCGACAGAAATATCGAACTTTTAAGTCATATGACTAGAAATTAATTCAAGAAATATTAGAGCTGATTCAAATGCCCTTTTTACTTTAACTAGAATCACAGCCTACAGCTAAATGATAGAAATAAAATAATGTACAACCCATGCCTTACCTGCAATAAGGATTTGTTCATTTTCTTCTGAATCCCACTTTTGTACTTTACGTCTTGCACCTTCCAGAATAACATATTGGAAGTTTTTTGGATCCGTCTGCATTACAATTGTACCAGCACAGAGATGGCAAGGCATAGAGAATTGGTAGATAGGAGTTGAGTGATACATCCCCACTTTTTTCTTTTCTGCGTTATATCTGACACCCATACCGATAGGATTTTTACAAGTGAGACACCAACAATTGAAAGGCATTTCAAATCTAATAGTGATAATGCCTTGACCTGCCTTTCTCCCACGTTGACGTAGAGCATGTGTGCCATGGTATGAGTTGAGATTCCTGTGATAATTAGGATCGAAATCGGGAGGATAGTATTTGTTTGTTCCTTTTCTCTCACCCTTCATAAATAAGAGGACAAATGCATTGAGACGGTTAGTAGTTGCATTTAACGATGTATGTAAAAGATAAACGTTTGGTTAGCCATTAGAAAGAAACAGGACCCTTCAATATAATCAATTGCGTTTATAAATCGATTTGAATGGATATGTATATATTTAGTCAATGTATATCGACTACACCTTTAAGTACAATATAAAATAAGCATCAATTCAAGCTGCAACACACCATATCTCATCGACAAGGGTAAATACACAAAAAGAAAAACCAAAGTAGAAATGATGCCGACAACATCAAGAATTCAAAATAACAAGAACAGTTTAAAATAGTGAAATCAAACAGTGAACTGTATGGAGTACCACTGCTTGAGATTTGAAAGAAAATAAAGAATGAATCCACCTACACCACAACGACCTACTTCAAATCAAGCTAAGTAGCGTTAGACAGTAGATACACGAGCCCATATCGACTCAAAAATTCGTAAATCCATTGACTGTTCGTAACCATGTGATTTAAATTACTGCAAGTAACACTGGTGTTCCCACATCTATTTGGATATTATTATAAAGTATCTCAGAATGGATATCACTTTTATGGTTAATTAGCTCGTCTACTTGTTCCTGAAAAATGTTCTTAACTTCTTCATGATCAAGTTGGACGTTAAGGGATTTTCTATGTCGTTTTATTTATTTATTTATTTAAACACATAAATATTGGTACAAGGAAGCACCAGATAAATATGCGCCTCACAAATCTCATTCGATTTGTGTGAGGGCTGTGATAATGCCCAGGTGTTCAGACTGAAGCAGGTGGTTTTCTTAGGGGGCCACACCCCGGGCCTTTGACCTAGAGGTCTAACCCACAAGGCAGTGGGGCATCGTGAGGAGATGCAGTCCCATGGTAGCCGGTGACCAACAGTTGGTTCATACGCCATCCGTTCCTTCAGGATACGGGAGCCCATGTGCACCATTGGTTTGGAATCAGGGTTTTCCAACTCCCCTAGGTGGATCCTCCACATCCACCAACCCGGTTATAGCGCCGGACATTCGCTTTTCGTTCTCTCACTTTCGTAAACAACATCCCCGCAACGAGAAGGCAGTGAGTAGGACTTCCCTGGCAGGGGCTATATACGCGTGGCCATGTGAGAGCATTTCGAGAGGGAAAGCGGACTCTCCCCACTCTCGGCCATACCAGGGTATTGTCCAGTAACACGTAGACAAACACGTGCTCGCACTAGAGCATGATTTGAGTGAAGACAGGTGCTCCAGAATGAGTGACATTCTTCTATTGAGCTTTTAAAACGATGGCTAGTGGCAACGTGGTATACTTCAGTCAGTTATTGAGTCTATTTTGCGAGCTGCCACATCTGACAAGGACGTAGATGATGTAGTTATGTTTAATGAAGACTGACAAAATACAGTCTTCTGGTCACATTAAGCAATAATGCAAGCATGTTTCAAGTGAAGTTCTCTCCACCCAAAAAGGTAAAATGTTACTTCAGGATTGATTTGTGTCACCCCATGAATTAGTAATAAGGAGTAAAGTAGTTGAATGTATCGACCACTTTACTTATCTCATCAGTGTTGATGCTTTGATTTCTGACGAAATCTCGGTACGGATTCAGAAGACTCGATTGGCTTTTTTTAACTTGCGTCACTTGTTGTGTAGGCGAGATATCCATCTTCCAGCTAAAGGGTCAGTTTACTGTGCAGCAGTTCGCTTCGTTATATTTTATGGATGTGAAACATGACCATTAAGAGTAGATGATATTCACAAGTTACTGGCATTCGATCATAGGTGTCTATGAAGCATTGTTTGTGTATTTTGGGACCATGGAGTAAGTAATGCCTGGAATAGAATACTAATTAAAGATGGGGAATCGATTGATGAGGTAGTAAATATTCATCAACTGAGGTGATCGGGATATGTTATGGTCGGAGATGAAAATTTATGGAGTAAACCGAGATGTGATATTCTTAGAGTTGACCTTTTCTAACCCCTTCCTTTTGTTGTAAGAAGATAGAACTGTTGCAGATGCTGACTGTCAAAGAGCAACACCATACTACTGTCACAACGCTCTATAGTCAGCAGCACGACCTCGCACCTGGATCCTAATCTGCTGCTTTTAATCTCAACGTTCTCCAACAAACCTGCCTGGCATGACAGGACCTAAGGGAACATGTGTTCCAGCCAATACAGTTCGGTTAAGTCACCACAATAGGCAATACCGACAACCACGTTAAGGCAGCAGCTATGGTGGAGGGAGAACGGGGAGATTTGATCAGTGATGCTTAGGCAACAGACTAGTTGAAATGTTTCACGAAAATATCTCGCTTTCCAAGACGCCTCTGAAACTTAATAATCGGCGTCCTAACAGATTCATAGGCTGTTTTAGTGACACCAGACTTCATGCTTCTAATGGCTTGTATGAGTTTAAACAGCTTCCATAATTTACCGGATGCAGCTGCTTAATGATAGCCAAGCTAAGAATATATTTCAGGAACAACTAGAAAAACAGTTAGGCAGCCTAGTAAAATGTGCCCATCCCGAAGCACTGTGGAACTAATATGGTATTAACCTCTTCATTTCGATCTCTCCGTTGATTGAGGATTTGAACGTTTTTAGATCAACAATATCACATAGTATGTAATATTTATAAGACGGTGATAATTAAAACGGTAAAATGGATTCTTAATAATAGAATCCATAGACTTTATCAGCGAGGAAAAATCAAACGCCTGGTGACCTATTCAGTGGACGCTTAACCTCTAGACCAGTGAGCCGGCATCCAACGATGTCAATGCCTGACTTTAACCAATCCACGATGTTGCTCGGCCATCTATTGTTTTTGGTGGGTAACTGCTTCACACCCAGCACGGTTGAACTCAACTGCCCACGGATCCTCACTATAACTCCGAGATTCCCATACGGATGTCCAGTGCTCCCAGGTTTTTAATAGTGGTCTAACACAGGTCAATTCATGATTGCAAGGAAATTGAACAATCCCCACAACCGCAAACTGAAGACATTAGGTTAGTTGACTCATTCTTCTTATCCTCTAGTTACTGTTCGTTAAGACCAACATTATTCCAACTTCCTTTTCAGGTCCCTTAAGATATACCCTTCCACGGTGTGAGCAGCCGGGAAATTATGTTATCTCTCATACCCGTAAATGCACACGAGAACAAGCTGGTCACGTTCAAATCCTTCCTACACCTAATAACTCTTTTATCTCCACGACTAACCCTTCTCAGACCCCAAATGCCCTGGTACGGCCGAGAGTGGGGAGAGTCCGCTTTCCCTCTCGAAATGCTCTCACATGGCCACGCGTATATAGCCCCTGCCAGGGAAGTCCTACTCACTGCCTTCTCGTGGCGGGGATGTTGTTTACGAAAGTGAGAGAACGAAAAGCGAATGTCCGGCGCTATAACCGGGTTGGTGGATGTGGAGGATCCACCTAGGGGAGTTGGAAAACCCTGATTCCAAACCAATGGTGCACATGGGCTCCCGTATCCTGAAGGAACGGATGGCGTATGAACCAACTGTTGGTCACCGGCTACCATGGGACTGCATCTCCTCACGATGCCCCACTGCCTTGTGGGTTAGACCTCTAGGTCAAAGGCCCGGGGTGTGGCCCCCTAAGAAAACCACCTGCTTCAGTCTGAACACCTGGGCATTATCACAGCCCTCTCGCAAATAAATGAAATGAAACATTCAACTGACAATTATATTCTCGCTCATACTAGAAACAAAACAATCTGCATTATTACTATTATTATCATTATTATTGTTGTTATTTTTACTATTTACCATATCGCTAATTCACCCCCTTTTATTCCCAATTTGCGTAACCTTACTTTTCAACTTATGCAGCAGCTCACTCTTGGTAGAAACTCTGTTCCATCTAAACGATCTCTAGTCGCTGTTTGGTCGAAAGTAAATGCTTCCACCGATTATGAATACTGAAGCAGTCTTTATGAAACCACGTGTTGTGGTATGAAAGAAAGCTGCAAAGGGCTAGCTTCTGTTGGTCCTTCACGACTCCCTGGCTGGGATCCGAGGGATGGTGCAACACAGTGGCTAGAGACGTTATCAGATATGGCTCAGAATAGAAGCCAGTGGCGAGCCTGATGTAACTTTTTTCTACTTTCTTCATAAAGAGTGGCTATAACTTTCGTAACTGAGAGAGCTCTTCTGGTTGTACATTTCAGTTCCACCATCATTACTCTTCTCCTCTTCTTTTTTTTCCTTCTTTTATATATACACATCTTCTTCCTTCTCCTCCCATTCTCATTATTTTGTGTGGCGCATATGTATCCGGTGCCCTTTGTACCAATATATATGTGATTAAATAAAATAAAATAACCCTTCTCACGTCTTTTTACCACCTCGCACCGCTAGGATAAACGAGTACACGGAACGTTATTCTTGGTCTCCTGAAACCACGCTCTAAACTACATGTAGGAACTTTCAACGTCCGAAAAATGCGCCAAATAGGACAACACGCTTCCTTAGCTAGGACTTTAGTATCTTTTACCATCGATGTGTGCTGCGTCTCCGAAACGCGCATATAGGATCCGAGTAGCGTCATTCATTCGACCTCACCATGTCATAATAAAGAACCAACTCGATTCACTATTCGAGTATCTGGGAGCCCCGATGCTGCTTCCCGTGGCCTCGCTGGCGTAGATATAGCATTGAGTCCTGGGGCAGAACTAGCTCTTTTAGACTGGATCACAGTAGACAGTCGTCTATGCGTTGTTCGACTAAACGGATCAGTAAGTACTCGGAAAGGTAGGGAAACTCGTCGTTGCCTCTTCGTCGTCTCTGCCTACTCTCCCACTGACTGCAGCTCAGACGATATAAAATATGAGTTCTACAGGAAACTTTTTGACCTTCTCCGAAAAGCTAGGCGTTCTGATGTAGTAATAGTGGCAGGTGACGTTGATGCTCAAGTAGGTAAACTAAGCGAAAATGAAAGATACGTAGATGGATCTTATGGTGTCGTGGCAAAAAGAACAGATAATGGCGACCGTCTGTTGCAGCTATGCTCAGATAACCGCCTATCTCTTGCAAATACTAACTTTAAGCATAAGGAAAAACATCTTTTGACATGGCGACCCCCGAATTCGTCCCAACGTTGAACTCAAGTAGATCATATCGCTATCAGCCACCGATGGAGGGGCTCGATGGAAGACAGTCGCTCATTCTGGAGCACATGATTAGATTCAGATCATGCTCTAGTGCGAGCACGTATCTGTCTGCGTCTTACTGGACGTAGGAAAGAAGCTGCAAGGAAGCCTCTTAGCTTTCTACTTAATGATAGGCAAGCTAAGAATATATTTCAGGAACAACTAGAAAAACAGTTAGGCAGCCTTGTAAAATGTGCCTATCCCGAGGCACCGTGGAACGACATCTGAAAAGCTGTGAAAACAGCAGTGATATCTGCCAGTACGGTAAACCATAAGTTTAGGGAGAAACACTGGATCTCAGCAGCATCTACCACACTGATAGCTGCTCGAAAACCCATCTCATTTAGCTCTGAACATAACGAAGAGCGGGGTCAACTTAAGCGCAGGCTAATAAGAAGCCTACGCAATGGTCGCGAACAGTGGTGGGTAGCGAAAGCAAGAGAGATGGAAAAGGCAGTGGAAATAGACAACAGCAGACAACTGTTCAAACTTGTTAAATAAACCGGTGTTAGGAGCCCGAATATCAGTGAAACCATCTCAGATAAAGATGGGCATATTATTCATTCTCAATCCAGGAGATTGGATCGATGGGCAGAACACTTTAGGGATCAGTTCAACTGGCCTTCAGCCACACTTCAATTACCCACGATCCTAGTTTCTCGGAGAAGGTCAGAAAGTTTCCTGTAGAACTCATATTTTATATCGTCTGAGCTGCAGTCAGTGGGAGAGTAGGCAGAGACGACGAAGAGGCAACGAGTTTCCCTATCTTTCCGGGTCCTTACTGATCCGTTTAGTCGGACAGCGCATAGACGACTGTCTACTGTGATCCAGTCTAAAAGAGCTAGTTCTGCCCTAGGACTTAATGCTATACCTACTCTAGCGAGGCCACGGGAAGCAGCGTCAGGGCTTCCAGATACACGAAGCGTGTATCGAGATGAAACTTTATTTTGATTAGGTGCGGTCAAATGAATGACACTACTCGGATCTTGTATGCGCGTTTCGGAGACGGAGCACACATCGATGGTGTAAGATTCTAGAGTCCTAGCTAAGGAAGCCTGTTGTCCTATTTGGCACAATGTTCGGATATTAAAAGTTCCTACATGTAGTTTAGAGCGTGGTTTCAGGAAACCAGGAATAACGTTCTGTGTACTCGAATCGTTTGCCCTAGCGGTGCGAGGTGATAAAAGGACGTGGGAAGGGTTAGTCGTGGAGATAAGAGAGTTATTAGGTGTAGGAAGGATTTGAAAGCGACCAACTTGGTCTTGTGTGCAGTTAAGGGTATGAGGGCTAGTATCACATCCCGGCTGCCCACACCGTGGAAGGGTATTTCTTGAGGGACCTGAAAAAGAAGTTGGATTAGTGTTGGTCTTAACGACCTGGGAGCGTGACCGCAGTGCCCAAGGGACAACTGCTTGAGGCCGGTCACGCACGGCCTTTTTGTGGGGGATTTTTGACGTGTTAGCTCCGTTCTTCAAAAGTCCTTACCGCCGGAGACGGAAATCCGTGGGATAAGGCGAGGTGTGCATTTTTAGGGTCGACCTTTTCTAACCCCACCCCTCCTTGTGGGAAGGCAGCATCGCTGTCATGCTGGTTGTCTGAAGGAAACACCTTACTGCTTTCACACCTCTGTACAGTCAGCAGTACGACTTCGCCTTCGGACCTTGGGATTGCTGCTTTTAGTCTCACCGCTCTTCAACCGACCTGTCTGGCATGGTAGGACCTTGAGGAACGATTGTTCCAGCCAGTATAGCTCGGTTGATTCATCACGATAGGCAAGCCCGACCACCACGTCAAGGTAGCAGCAACGGTCGATTACTCAAACTGACACATGAAGCTTAACTCGAGACTGGCTTGGTGGTGGAAAGTTGAAAATTACAACCACTAAGTAATCACTCTCAAGAATGCAGGTAACATCACAACACAGATGTTACTGGCCAACTGGTGAAAACTCGAAACCAAGCTTTACTCTAGAAATTGAGCGATATTGTGAATAAATAAAAAACACTGTTTCAACGAGTGTCCCGACAGCAGCTGCTACAGCGGCGTGGTGGTCTGGCTCAGATATCGTGATGACTTAGTCGAGGAATAGTAGTGGCTGCAACAACATTTTCGTTAGATGTGTCAAACAGATGATGGGAAAGCAGTAAAGCCAAAAGCAGCACAGTTTATATCCGAAATTGAAGTCATACTCCCGACTGTGCAGGGACATGGTGGGAGTAAACATTCATCTCGAAAACCAGAATCTTCAATCACTTGGTTTTTTAACAACAGAGTTAGAAAAGGTTGCCCTTACGAACAACTTAACTCACCTTGCCCCACTGATTCCGAACACCAATGGTAAGGCCTGAAAAGAGGTGCTATTGGATTAAGAACCACTCGAAAAACGCTACATGGCCGCACTCAAGCAGTTACAAAATGAACTCTGCAGTGACGCCTGTAGGTCATCAATATCATGTCTAATCCAATTTTCGTTATAAGCACTTAGAAAAGTGTACTATCATAATGTGGGGGACAGGGAATCGGTAATCGCTCTCATAATTAACGGCACTCGAGATCACCTATACGCCGGATTCGGAAACAGGTTGATTCTAGGCCATCGATCATTTCCACTACATAGGCACATGTGTCAATGTATGGCAGATATTATAAGTCAACTTGGTGGACAAGTACCTAAAGCGGGTTAACCAGTGCACAATAAATATATGGAAATTGAACCTCGATTCCTACCTAGTGGTACGTATTAGGTTAAGAATCGTTGAGATGAATAGGGCACGAACCTAATTTGTCCACCAATATTTGTTGAAATGCACTGGCCTACGATGCCTTACTATCTTGTGTATTAAATTTATAAACCAAAGGTTACGACTATTCTGTGACGAAGCCCGCCTATTTTAGCCTAGATGCCCAGAGAGCACTACAGCTGTGATATGAATTACGGAAATTCCATATGGAGAATAGTTAGTGCTCATAAACATGTTGATGTTTAAGGGAGTCAGTTCATAAAACTTCTGAGCTAACACATTCTGTGCGGTTGATATTTCACACCCGGTACCCATCGAAAACCCATTTCAGTTCAATGTGCATATACTGTTTCGCCCTCAACACCGTTACAAACTGTAATACTTCATGCAGCTAGACTGAATCCATGTATGTAGCTTACGCTAGTGAAGCAGTGTTAGAAGCTTGAAGAAAACTGAAAGACAAGTATTTCTTCTGTACAGAGAGACCCTTTTCAGCAGCTCCTCGAAGTTTATAGCTTATTTTAGCTATTAACAACACTTAACGCAGTTATCCTCAACAACCCCATCTCTCTAAAATCTTGGGTTCCAATAGACTGTAACAATTAACTACAGACGAGATGAATGTTTACATGAGTGCCATGTCTGTTCCAACTGTAACTTTTGTCCAAAAGATACGTATAGTGAGCCAAAAAACTTTAGGTTAGTTTTACGACCCGTTATTAAGGTTTAAGCCGTGTGGATATGCTATAGCCTGAAATACGAAACAGTAATTATACATTCAAGTAACAAAGATATAAAATGATGTGAGGACTGTAACAACTTCATGTTCTATATATACGCCATTTAATGTTTGCGTAAGGATTCTGCAGAATCTACTGATGTAATCATTCAGTTCATAAGATATCTGTACTTCATTACAACTCAACGAGCTTCAAAAAAATCTCACAAAGCAAAATTATCTGAGCACATTGAACAGATAATTCTGGTCAGTCAATTGAGTGGATAGCTGATTGCGTAAGTTTGTTTGTAATAAAACGTGAAGTCTAAATTAGACAACTAACCATTGCTTTAGAGATTGCGCCTCCAATACTAAGTTCTTCTAGGACAAGGTGTTTCAATATTCAACTTATTAACAGGAATCTAGAAAAACAATTATTTAGTAATTATAAATTTGTTATAACGAATGGCTTTCAGTGTGATTAGTTAAAACATCCAGCTATGGAAGACTTCAGTGACAGTAAATTTCTATAATTTATATGATCTTATAACTATTTTCGTGTCTCTGACATTGTATGCATAATTACGGCCGTATTCAGTATTTGTGCAATATATATATTGCCTGTAATATCATCAACATATATCTGCTGTCTCTATCCGAGTACAGAAACATGTTCCTGCTTACATGGCTTTATACTTCTACATTGTTGGTCGAGGCATTGACTATACAACAGTGTTTTGTATGTTTGAGCTACCCGTCAAGTTGTGTGATTATTAGCTTTTCTGTAGTCATGCCCTTTGTAGCATTCGGAAGACTTCAGAAAATTGAGTGTGACGTAAATAAACAGAAATAGTAGACTGTAACCGACACACCGAACTCTCTCGAACATATATCTAATGCACTGAATATTCATTCAGCGGAAAACAAGGTGGAATCTATCTTGGAAATGCTGGAATCAACCATCATTAGGTGTATTCGAGGTTTGATCGGATCAACTGATTTTCATTGACGGCTTATATCATACTATGCATCTTGTGGCGTTAAATAAATCCCTGAAACAAATGGTTTGTAAGTCTTCACCATTGATGCTGACCTCATTAGTTTTGCTAAGCATACCATAGCTGAAGGTGCTCGGCCACGTATTGCCACCAGATCACCAGTGGGTACGTCCTGCTTCTCAGCCCTCACAACAACTAGTCAGCTTAGATCCGATATTCCGAAACCCTTCCAAATATATTGTAGGACTTCTTGATTTCGAACATCTGGTTTGACTGGCTTTACGACCTTTGCATATAAAGGTGCTATAAACAATGGCGTTTTCAAGCACTGATTACCCGTAACATCTTTGGTGACGAGCATTGATTCGATCTGGTGCATCAAACGATAAACTGTGAGTCTGTTTCTCATCGTAACGCCATATAAATATTTTATTTATTTATTGTTTCTGTGTTTTCAGACGTTTTCAGATATTCATATATTTTAGGATTATTGCTTTGGGACAGCAAAGATTCAATAAGTCTTCTTCGAACCACCCAACAGGAAAGTCACTGAATGTCGAACAGTGTACCCATCCTCTTTAAGGTTACAGTATTTGGTCTGAAACAAATCAAAAGCCCCCATTAGTGCTACTGCATATTCGTACGACTCGTCAGTCACCACAGTCTTCTGGAAATGTAAGATGAAACACTACGATCCTTAACATCCTTCCTGATGCTTTATGAAAGTGTTTGTTCGAGGAAGATTACCAGGCTCACATCCAAATACTTTGTCACAGAGCACAATGTATATCGAAAATAAGTCACTGACATTTCCTCTAAACTCATTATCTGTTAGTGCTAGTAACTACCCCTTATTTTACATACGAAGAAAGCCCGTTTATTGTTTGCGGTAGGTTTACCTTCACATTGTAACAGTCTGACTAGTACACTCTTTGACAGTACATCCGACCAAAAAGCATATTTTATTTTAATTCAGGATAATGACAGATTTCCGGTGAAAACAACCCAGTAATATAATGAGAAATAAGACCCTTCACTTGATTATAAGAAATCGACATTTTACAATGCATCAACCCCAGTAAGACGATTTTCATCACGGATTTTCAACAACTCCGAAACACTGGAAGGAGTAATTGTTTAGTAAACAGAGACAGTAAATTAAACGAGTCAATCGGAAACTGTATTTTAGGATGAAATCATCGAAATACAAGTTCATAGACAGTTACTCATTTTATATAGGCAGTGTATTCTCTATTTTCTCCCACAGAATGGCAAGGAAAGATTGGCACATATTTAACATAGACGACTATCTCTGATTTCCCAACAACATATGCAATAGTTTGGAATTTTCATACACGTAGGTCCCCACTCTATAGAACCTAAGAGCTGGACAGTGAAACACGCAACAACAGAATTATTGTAAGTACAGAGATTAGTAGGTAGCTATAGAGAGGCATAGATAACTCGAACACCTGTGAAATTTTGTGTGCCTCATATTCATTATTTGCCTCAATTTTTCCTCCCTGAACAGTTTAGATAGTGATACATTGAAAAATCGTTAAACGGAGTAGAAACTTGCGCTAACATCATAAAGATTAGGAAAGACCTGGAAAAGAGGGAAATTTATTGTTGTCACTCGTTCACCAGAATGATCCCCTATAGATATTTGGGACCAAGAAGACTTATTACTGAATCTGTAGCTATAGAAGTAAATAATTATCTCTACTGACTAGTTTTGACGCGACACACAGCAATGTGCAAACTTTACGTGGACGACTACCTAGTGTCGCTTCCTAATGGAGGTGAGAAAACAGTTGTTGTACAATTGACCAAACTGATGGCCCGACGAGGATTCAAGTTGAAAAACGTGGGTAACTAATTTAGAACCGGTAAGAGATTTTCTGTGATCTGATAGTATGGAAGCGATAGTTGATATGCCTTTGTATCAAAGGTCTACCCTTCGATCACTTGTGACTGAGTGAGACAACATACATGGTGTTTTTTAATTTCTATTTGACCTGGACGAAAACGTTCGACTAGAAAAGGAACACTATCCACCGTTTCATCTTTTTTCGATCCACTTGGACTTATTGCTTCAGTGTACCTTCTTTTTAAAAAACCCTCACAGAATCATTGTAAGTGGCACATTAGTTGGGACCAGCCCCTTAGTGTTAGTGTTTTGTCCTCGTGGAAGGATCGTGTTAGGTTTGTGCGGGAGCTCGAGACAATCAACATTCTCTTGAGCATTAGGAATGAGCACAGAAAGAACTTTGGAACGATTAAGTTGCAATTGTTTTGTGATATCTCCGAAACATGTCACTTCGCAGTGGCCTACTCATAGAACATCCCCAAGCACAAACCTCCGTACAGCGTTTCGCCCTATGAAAAGACTAGTGTTGCACCCATCAAACTATTAACTGCGCCCAGATTGGGGTCATCAGTTGAAGTATTAAGTGCCCGAATAGGTGAAGTTTTATTATCGGAATCGTTCGCAAATGTTTGATAAGATTCACTTCTTGACGGATGATGTGATAGTTCTGTACTATGTGAGCAACACGGAAAGCAGATATTACACCTTTGTGGCGAATTGTATAGCCATTATTTATTTTATTTTATTTAAACACATAAATATTGGTACAAGGGAGAACCAGATACATATGCGCCTCTCAAATCTCATTCGATTTGTGTGAGGGCTGTGATACTGCCCAGGTGCCCAAACTGAAGCAGGTGGTTTTCTTAGAGGACCACAACCGAAGCCTTTGACCTAAAGATCTGATCCACAAGACAGTGGAACATTGTTAGGAGATACAGTCCCATGGTAGCCGGTGACCAACAATTGGTTTACACGTCACTTGTTCCCTCGGGATACTGGAGCCCATGTGCACCATTGGTTTGGAATCAGGGTTTTTCAACTCCCATAGGTGGACTCAACGTGTCCACTGGTCCGATTAAAGCGCTGGACATTCACTTTTCGTCCTCTCACTTTCGTAAACAGCATCCCCGCCACGAGAAGGCAGTGAGTAGCACTTCCCTGGCAGACGCTATGTACGCGTGAACATGTGAGAGCATTTCGAGAGGAAGAGCGGACTCTTCCCACTCTCCGCCGTACCAGGGCATTTTGGGGTTCTAGCCATTATACTCCAGAAAACGTCTGTAGTCCAGTAAGGACACGTTGGATCCAATGAATATCCTGCCGAGTGGATAACATGAGGTATACGGATAGAATTAAATTTGGAACCTTGGACTGGAGGTCCTTAATTCTTAAGGAATAGGGAGTCCGTAAACTTACCGAAGCTTTCCTTGGAAGTGACTCTGGAAAATGAGGCATTGAAAAGTACTCAGGCAATCAACACAGACTCCGAAAATCACAACTTTAGTCTGGTTCTGTTATACCACTAGGATCGAATAAAATTGATTCGAGCGGTATCATGGCTAAGGAGATATGTGATCTTTATGTAGACAAAAAGGGTTTTGTGGAGATTTCAGTATTTTCATAGTTGAAATTATGAGTCAATTGAAGCTAGACCACCATGGAAAACCTGGAAGCACTGACCGGCTGTTCCATCTTATTGTGTGACTCCTCAGCAGTGTGCATCCGCGATCCTGCCTCGCGAGATTCGAACCCATGACCTATCGGTCTGGCGCGCGAGCGCTTAACCTCTAGACCACTGAGCCTTCATCCAAAGGTGTTAATGTCTAACTTCAACCAGACCACGAAGTTGAGCAACCGTTCACCAATTGTCTTCAGTGAGTTGATATCTCACGACAGACGTGTCTCACTGGTCTAGAGGTTAAGCGCCGTCCAGTGCTTCCAGGTTTTCCATGGTGGGCTTGCTTCAGTTGACTCATGATTTCAACCATGGTGTATATGTAGTCCCGTCTCCAGGACAGATACTTAAGTGCAGGCTGTCTGACCGTTGATAAATTTACGCAAAATTTGTACAGAAGGGTAGAGTTGTTGCCTTGAATGTGTGTGATAATCCACATGCTCTCTCGCTCTATCACCCTCTGGCCACCAAAGGAAACTTATTCATCCACAATCTTTACTTGAATGAACATTTGTTCTACATTTCCAGAAACGGCACCCCGTTCCCTGCGGAAATTTATCAGGATATCAGTTTAATCTTTTGTAGTATCTGGATCTTAGGAGAGAAGGTCATTCGAATATTTACCAGACACCCATGCAGGACAGTCCACTACCACTCTCAGTTTGCTTGATTTCTTAAGTTTAATAACAGGATGATGGGCAAAAACCATCTTGGATGGTAACTTGGGTCGATTTGAGTACCTAGGACTACAACCACATATCCTTTGTAGATGGTCTGCTTCATGGCATGGGTGTAGCTTCACCGTAAGTCTTTATTGCATTCAGGTTTGCGTCCCAGGTGTTTTAATCTTTGACTAGCTGGAACGTAAATCCCGGAGTCCACATTTGTTTCTGCCTTCCAAGGTAAAGGGAAAACTCAGTGACTTTTATCAAAATAAGTGTCACACCCGACTATGC